TACAAAATAAAACATTATACTCTAATTACAAGGTATACGTTTCTACAACCTAATAATTAACGGTATTGTTTTTTTAAATGTTGTTAATTACAGGCAATATAATGTTGTTTTTTTAAAAAAAAATATGTAAATGATGCCATTTATAAAAAAATATATATATAATCTTATCTTATAAGGAAAGAACGAGCACAAAAAGAAACGGTTAATTCAAAAAAAAGAATTATATAACTATTTCTCATCAAAAACAAGATGGTATAAAAAATTTGGAAACTTAAATTCAAGTTCAACTTTTAAATATCAAATGACGGGTATCATACATGAATATGAAATTTAAATAGCAAAAAGTAAGTTTCAAATTACTTAAATATTTCAAATATCGGGACAAGAAATAACGAATACAGAAAGAGAATGAGTAATTTAATTAGTTAAATACAAGCTATATAATGTTGGTTTTTTTTAAAATGTAAATTATTTCATTTATATATAAAAAAATATGATATTATATTAGAGAGAAAGAACGGGAACAAAAAGGGAATGGGTAATTCAAAAAAAAATATATCTAAACTATTTTTCATCAAAAACAAGCCTATATAAAAAATTTGGAAACTTAAATTTAATTTTAACTTTCAAATATCAAATGACGGGTATGATACAAGAATATGAAATTTTAATAGCAAAAGTAAGTTTCACTTAAAAATTTCAAATATTGGGACAAGAAATAACGGAAAGGGAACGGGTAATTTAGAAAATAAAAAATTATTATCTTAACTAATTATAATAATATACAAAAGGGAATTATGGGTAACGGGCAAGCTGAAGACATACTATTTATTCATGTGGGTGGACCAAAATATTTCAATTTGTTGTAAGACATGCATAGTGAACGGGTTTGACTGTCCTGATATCTATATTTATGTTATTTTATTCAAAAGTTTTAATGTTTTCATTAGTTTATGTGATGTGATAGTTGACAAATTTAATTGATTTCTAATTTATCAGTCTTTCAGTTCACATTCGATCCGAGTCTTATATAATGTCGATTAAAATATTAGAAACTTAATGATAAACATAGTTTTTGCAACTAATCCCGCACGTACGTGCGGGTCCATGCCTAGTATATTATAATATATTATTACCATTAAATTAAAATGATAATACTAATCACAATATTCTTTATTACGAGTGAAAAAATTCTGAAAATGAAAATACATTTGTGTTAACCTAATATCATGTTTTGTTTAAAAAAATTTATGGAACTAGAATTAATTAGGTTACAAAATTTTCAAGATCAGATATTTTATGCACACTGTATACTGATAAGTAATAAGGATTACTATATATCAAAAAATTTGGTTTAAAATTGTGCATAGGTGATCAGCTTATCTTATTCTTACAAGCATTACATATAATTAAGCCTAAAAGTTGACTTTTCAGTTTATAAAATCCAGTCGAGCTGTCAATGAATGCTATGGGGTTTATTGAACAGTCACTGTCACCCAGCTAATTAATAAATTTAGTTGTTTCCTCTGTCATAGTTTGTTTTTAGTATTATTTGGTTAAATTTTGCGTGAGACTTGGAAGAACATCTTATAAAATGGGACAAAAAAGTAATAATCAATAAACTTAGTTGTTAATTGCCATATAATAATGCAGTATTAACTACCCAACAATCCAAAATACATATCACGTCCAAATCTACTCCAAAGAAAAAGATCTTGGTGGATTCTCAATTTATATTATCCCAAAAGTCATAGCTGACCTAAACATGTTAAGATACAAAGTCGTCTAATGATAGAATGGTCCCTATCCTCAAAGCCAAAGAGATGTTTTATGTCTAACACATGAACAAGTAACCAAAGAGATAAACTCTGTTTCGTCAAATTTCAAGTCCCTTTTTATTTGTTAATCGATGATGTTTAAATACACAAAATAGAAGAAAAAAAAAACTACCCATTAAATCTATAATTAAGAACATGACTAAGTGGAGATGTAATCCAACTAACTTAGGATAAGCAAAGACAACATGATCTCAACTCTACCGGTTACATAGATGATGTCGGTTTACTCCGGTTAACCGGTTATGTTCTCATCATCTAACTTGGCTGTATGGTTGTCAAATGTCCACTTATGTTTTATGTTATAACGTTATTAACATGATAAAGTAGAAACCAATAGATTTGTTTGAGAATTGAGATGATATTGCACTACGTCGAGAATGCCTATTTATATAAATGGGGATGAGGTCCATAATGAACATACCCGAGAAATTTTCAGAAATTTATATTAGTAGAAATCAGATAATTAATTTTAGAGTACATCAAACTTTTTTTTGTTCAAGTCTTCTTGGATTGATCGTTCCAAAGTTGTGACTGATCGTCTCATGACTTTGTAGATAGATCGTTCCAAAAGACTCAAGATTTATGATCTTCGATACATTGTGCTCCGAATTGATGAATAAACATTTTGATAGCATGATTTAAGCATCTACTAGCCATAAAGACAGTAAATGTTATTATTAGAACATTTTGAAATCCAAACAACATGTAAAGTGGAGACCTACCGTCCACGTCTCTTTCGTAGAGGACTCAATGATACAAATAAAACATGTGGTTTATATATGGCCGAAGATAATTCAACATTAGTAGGTTCATTCATTTACTTTTTCTTTTTCCTTGTTTTCTCTCATTCATCATTGTTCTTTGTTTTTGATATATTTTCTTGAAGTATTATTTAACCCATAATTTATCATTTGAAATTGACGGATCTAAGACCATCTTTAATGGGGGTACCCCACTTTTTCAAAGAAAATATTTTATATAAGAATTTTCTTTGAAAAAGTAGAGGTATATTAACTAAGATACCCATTGAGGATGCCCTAAACCACTTTATGTGGAAGAACCTAAACTACTCTATATGCATCATGATGTAATCTTTACAATTTTTTCTTTATTTTTTTGCATATATAGCGTGTCAAAATTCATAATTTTCTAAACTAAAATTTGAGGGTATAAAACTAGAAATAAAATTGATGATACCTCAATGTAGTGTATTTATAAATACACTTGTGCAACATCATTAATTATCTCAATTGATAAAAATTCTCCGACAAATCCTATATATATAGTCGGTCCGAGTGGCGTTTGGAAAAATGCTTTCGCCCCAAGTCTAAGAAGATGTATTTGTCTAGGCTAAAAGTCTTTGAGTAATTAAAAAAAAAAAGACATTATTAGTTCCCTTGTGATACATATATCCACTTCATATTACTAGAAAATATGCTTTTTGTTAACTAAATGAAATAATTGAGTTCACTTGCTCTAGCTTTCCATTCTCTGGATAACGTAACGACGGTGACTAGCTCTCCCGTTCCCGTCTATAGTGAGAAGGAAGTACAATAATTTTGCTCCCCACCGGTGGTTGAACCAATTCAACCTCCTACGAAGGAATATGGTATGTTATCAAATCCTCAGTTAAAATGTAATAATAGTAATAATAGAAATACGTTTTTTTTTTTTTTTTTTTTTTTTTTTTTTTTTTGGTAAAAGAATAGAAATACGTTTTCTCTAACGTTTTCCCTATTTAAAGTAAAAATAGAAATATTGAGTGTTAGGCCTATAACTCAATAAGAACATTCATGTTTTCTTTAACGTTTTCTCTATTCACCCGATCTATAGACTTTTGTGTGTACAACGAGTCAACAAAATATAATTTTCCAAAACGTTACATCCTATCTTTTTTTTCCTAGACGCCAAAAAAGACGTACACTTCGTATATTGGTACCCACATTGTTTTACCTCTTGTTAACAAACGTCGTCATCGATTTTGTCTCCGGGAAAAATATAGACAAAAGTAACTTTATTCTAATCTTGTTATATTGTTTTGCAAGTTGTTAGGCTCGTGATTTTGAAACGCATATCAATGAAACTAACAAAAGTGTCTTTTTGTTAAAACGTCACTCACACCATCGTCACCTAATTAATAATAAAGAACCTTACAAATATATTAAAAGTACTTAAATAAAAACAATAACGATAGGGTAATATATTATAGTTATGTATATATATAAAAAAAAAAAAAAAAAGAATGTGAATCAAAAGCGGGGACGTTTGGCTTTGCCGCAGAAGAGAGCGTTAATAGGAGGTTCGGCTTCAGTATAAAGAGACCTCTCGTCGTTCCATACACGAACATAGAGTTCTTGTCCTAAGTATCTCCTTGACCATATTTGTGACCTTAAATTCCACATTCCCTTATTGTCTAATGATACCAATACGCTCGTCCACGACATTGGATATACCTATTTTTTACACACATGTATAGAACATTCAAAACCATATATGTATGCATGCATGTATGTACTAGAATATGTGTGATTTATAACTAAAATTTTTAGTGTTGTTTTTAGGTTTTTACCTGAAAAGTGTGCCTTGAAACAGCATCAACCAAATTGTAACCTCTCCTCTTGGCCAGGTTCCATGTGCCTGGGCCGTATCTGATTATAATTCAAAACATCTTCAACTAATCTAGCAACCAAGTCTGACAAATCCAGAGTATAAAGATAGTTAGATATCGAACAAAAGGCTTAATTATTACCCGACAACATATGCGCTAGTGCCGTCAAGGTGCCAAGATTGTATAGATCTCTCGTTGTTCTGGAACACGAACTCGACGTACTCATGAAGAGCCACATCAAAGACTGAAGTTCCAAGAATAGAGGGTCCTGGTGTAGGAATGTTCATCATGGTTCTGAAATTGAACACCCCGGGAATGTTGAACCAGTCGGCTAGTTTCAGTGGAGTTGTTGGGTTAACGTATGACACACGGTTCACTGTGTACCGGAGTTTACCGTTGATCGTCGCTCTTCCGTTGGCTAAAACAAAAGTTCGATTTATCGGTATGGTACCGTAGTGAAAGGATCCTTGTGGATTTGGCCTTGCTGCATTCGCTGTCAAATTTAACCTAAATATGTATTGACCTTTTCAAATTAGGTGTTTTCATAAAACTTATCAGTTTAGTTTTGTTTGACCAAGTATAACTTACCTGATGCTTCTTGCTTGTTTCATGGACCAATGGATATGGTAAGTAGGACCAATGGGGAGGGGATGAGATGGTCTGATTTTGGAGCCTTGGTAACTGAGGATTCCTGTGGTGGTCAGTACTGGTTTGGTAAATCTTGTTGAAGCCACAACAAAGTAGTCCTTAACTGGAGCTTTCAATGTGACCAGCACGGTAACAGACTGGCCAACGTGTATGTCAAGTGACTCATATACTTCTTGCAGAGTGTGAGAGCCTTCTACTTCGACGAGAGTCATCATATGTCCTTGAATCCTAAAGTTAATTGATGTCGATATCCCGACATTCGATATCCGAAACCTATATATCTTGCCTTTACAAACACATAAAACATAACATCAATAAAGAGTACAATGGAGTAAGAGTAAGGAGAAAAAAAAATCTTGGTTATGAGGATTTACCATGTTGACCGGTAAAGACTAAACCTTTAGAGGCACCATTTATGAGAAGGCCGTCCGGGAGAGGAAGAGCACGACCTGAGTCAAGGCTCCTTCGAAGTTCCTGTCAAATACATCAATGAGGTAAAACTCTTTAGATCGTTTAGTTAAAACCCTAAAAGTAATTATGTTACTTGGAAACAAAGTTAACTCTTTGTATTAGCGATTTTACTACCTTGTGACCCATCTTGTACCAATCACTGACAAGTAGAGTGAAGTCAGCGTCTGGTTTAGGGTAAGGAACGAAGATGACTGATCTCTGGTACACGTTAAGTGCACCAAAAGCACCACTTGCTCTGTGCATCGACGTCGAAGCAAAGTATACATAAGTACCGATTTGGTCTTTGAGTTGAAAATGATAAGTCCAATTCGAGTTTGGTTGGATCGGACAGTTTGTTCCCAAAACTCCGTCTTGCCACGACATCCTCCTCTGTTTAATTCCGTTCCTACGTATTTTTCTAAAGTATCAAGTTCTTGTTCTGAATGGTGATTTATTCTATTCAATATTTAGTACTTATTCCTAAATTTTTTACGTACCAGGTAATGAGGAAAGGTTCGTCAAGCTTGTTAATGACATTAACAACGATGTTATTGTTTGTTACACCTTCAATTGCAGGACCAGGGAACTGGCCATTGATAAGAATAATCTGAAAAAATACAATACCAAAACATTATACTAAAATAAAATTATTGTTTATAAAATAAAACCAACAAAAAAAGAGAGACAGAACAGTGTATAAACCTGTTGAGGAACACCTAATGGAGATCTGGTTCCGTAAGTGACAGTCCAAGTGAAGTAAAGATAAGGGTCCTCTGCGTTTACAACAAAAACTGAGCTGAAACAATAAGCCAGTAAGAACCCTACAAGCAAGAGATTTTTCTGCTTCATTGTCTAGATAACAAATCTAAGTGTTACTATATATGATCGAGAGAGATTTTGAGAGACTTAATTTTCTTGAGATTACACCAATTAAGGTTGATCTTAAATATATACAAGTGACTAGCTAAGTCATGAGTATAGAACAGAGAGAAGAGTAAATAAAATGGAAGTGACGAAGTAAGTTCATATTGTGAATCCCCATGCATGCATATGTATGTACACAAAGGTGCCATTGTTCTTTTGCGCCGTAATTCATGCAATTGCCGCAACTCTCCTTCAAAGTTTTCTAATCGATTTTTATTCGAGTAATGTAAATATGAATTGTTAGTGTTTGATCTTGTAAAAGAAAATAATATAGAGAGTTAGAGACAGTGAAACTTCTCAAGACTTGTAACTTCCAAATCTTATATTTTTAATAGAAAAACTCCTCACATATGTATTCCGTTAACCATATTAATCTGAGTATCTTGGTATAATTTTTAAAAGTATACTTTCTTGTCATGCAAAAATCTTATAATTTTGTTTTGTTCTGTGAGAATATTACAACTGCGGTAATGATCTTATACAATATTAATATACCAGCTGTTGTGTTTGGCCGTGGTCGATGACCCGATGTCAGTAAAAGAGAAGTTATAGTCACCGCCACGAACCGCTTCTCATTTATTGCACCATTGGATCGTGGAATTTTAGATTGCAAGTTTCGTGATTAGAAAAAGGGAAAAAAACAAAACAAAACTCGAAAGCTATCTTTAGATCTTCATCCTAAGTTAAGTATATGCAAATTATATCCATTGTTTTGTTTGTCTTTGACATGTTAAGTTGGCAAACAAACTTGGTAAGAATAAAAGTTTTTTTAGGCTAAACGCAAATACATATATCGATTACTCAATTTATGAATTTAGTTGCATAAACTAACTTAAACATTACTTGCTTCTACACAATTCTCATGAGACACTAATTGGCATTAATTAACTAGTTATTAATTAGCTATGTTTAGTTTTAAAAGTAAAATGAAGGTGGAGTACGTTAATTACCAAACCGAGTGGTAACTTGTGGACATGGTGAGGCATCCCTAAAAGTGTTCACATTGGGAAACCCAATTTCATTATTTAAACCAATCCACACATGCATGCGTAACCAATAAGCTCGGTTTTATCATGTTGCTCTCCTTGAGATAAATTAGTTGGTTTAGTATCTTTTAATAAGAGCATATGTAATTATGTTTTATATAGAACAAAATAGAGAACTCGATCCGATAAAGCCTCCTAGAACCGCCAAATTCTAAACTCGAATGCTAAATTTAGAGGTTTATTCTATTTTACATTTTAAAGAAAGTTATATTTAATTGAAAATATACAATTTATTTATAGATGCATTTTTATGATATTATTACTTACGAGTACCTAGTGGAAATTTATTTTTCAGATGTTAGAATTAACATCTAAACTATATAGATCAATTTTATTTTAATTTGTCAATGAAGACCTCTAAGCATGACAGTACATATGCTTTATAAACCCTCCTTACTCGTCACCGAATAGTAGTCCTACATGTTAAACATGGTTTCATCCTTATCAAGTAACACATATCAACCATGCATGACTACCACGTCACCACAGCTTCACAACGACGTGTTACATCAAGAACTAATACAACTCTATCAATTTCCGATATATCTCGATCATAAGCCATAATTTTCGTATTTTTAATATATCCATATCTATCAGCTATTATCTAAAACAGCCATGTCTAACGACGTGACTAAAGACCCTTCACCAAAATCTGGTAAACGAAACATAATGCCAAAAATCTAAAAATTCTTCACCAACTAATTAAATTTTGTTCTGATTCTGTTTTGTTCCTTGTTATTATTTGATAGATATTGTGGAAGATGTTTACTTATGGAGGAGGAAGAAACTTGCCTTCTCTATACTCTCAGTCTCAACAGCTACATGGGTTTTACTCAACTTTTATGGTTTCAATTCCATAACAATTGTTTCTTGGATCGGTATCGCCGTCGTCTCTATGGTTTTCCTCTGGGGCAGTTTACTTCGCCTTCTTAGCAAGTAATTAATATTCCATCTCAAACTATTTGGAGATCTTATGCAAAGAACTACATATATTTCTTTTTTTATTTAAAGATTTTTTGAAAACTTTATTATATACCCAATATTACACTTACTCAATTAGATATGTTTGAGTGACATGCACCAGCTGATTATGTTAAACATACTGTTCATGTTTTAAAAGGAAATATTTCTAAAAACTAGTCCTATAAATAATCAATGTTGTAACTCATGTTTATGTTTTTTTTTGGGATAGGGTTGAACCGGAACTATCAGGGTTAGAAGTGTCGGAGGAGTTTGTAGCCGAGACAGTGAGGTCTTGTCGGATGTTAATGGAAGAAACTGTTAGGTGGATGTTCCGAGTTGGTGCTGAGAGTGAATGGTTTGTTTTCGCGAGAACCATTTTGGGATTGTGGATCTTGTCAAGAATTGGGAGCCTTTTAGATTTTCATACTTTTCTCTTCACCGGTACGTAACTAGATTTGTAGTACAACACAACTAATTTAGTAATACTGATTATTTTTAGTGTTTTGCGTTTTATTTGGGTGCAAATCTAAGCGTAAAATTCTAAAATTTTTAAGAATACATTAAGAAGACATTAAACTAGTTTTGAAAAAGACATTGAGTAGATGTGATTTATGTTTCTTATTTCTGGCATTTACAGGTTTGGTGATGGGCTTAACAGTTCCAAAGTTGTTGGAGAAGTATGGAGATCAAATTAACAAGCAATTGGCTAATGTTAAAGAGAGATCAAAGGGAGCGTATGATACAACTCATAAGAAGATTCTAATGATGAAGAACAAGTTACAGCATGGTACAGCTGAGAAAGTGAAAAAATCAGACTAGATTACTTTTTACCTGTCTTTCCAAAGTAAAATAGTAAAAATAGTTGTACTACCTACATGTATAAAATCGTAAACAAAATATCTAATACACTAGATTTGAGTATTTTTACATGTCTTTTACCGTTTTCACTACAGTAAAACTAATTAAAGTTTGCATAAAAAAAAATTTAGCGTATATTTTTTATCTTCTGTAAGAAAAAAACCTGATAAAGTTTAAGATCTTATTTAAGATTTTGGTATTGATTTAAAATAATTAAAGATAATGGAAAAAGACAAAAAAAAAAAATGGAAAAAGACAAAACACATAAAATGACAGAAGTAACTCTATATCAGAGCCAGGTTTCGATCCTGGGACCTGTGGGTTATGGGCCCACCACGCTTCCGCTGCGCCACTCTGATTTTTTGTTAGAAAAACCACCAACAGTTTATTTATATGATAGTCTACTTACTCTACGATTCACCCTTATGAAACAAACAAAGCATGTAAGAGACTAAGAGAGTTGTAGTTCCATCGTAAGTGTCTGTATCTTCAGAAATGCATAATCCATATCTTTCAAATGCGCCAAACTTCTAAACCGTAGCGAAAACCCGAGGCAGGATCAAATTCGTTTTCGGTATAGAGAAGTGATGCATATTGACAATGCTGAATTAGTAGTAGCAAAATAGTGAGACTGAATAATAAGGTTGATTAATAAAAAATATAATAACTCAAAAGTGTTAGTAACTATCCAAGAAATGAAGGAAATGTATTTTGTTTCTTTTTATTGCGATTAAGGTGCCTTGTTTGTTTCTTAATAACTAGCTTCCTTGCTCTCAGATTTCCTCCATTTAACCGGTGGTTCAAGCTCTGCCTCCCCCTCTTCTTCATGGAGATTCTCTTGTCCCATTGGTTGCATAAGAAACTGTGCTTCTTCTGTTTGCTCTTGACCTTCTTGTAATGGAGGCTGAAGCATGAGCTGTGTCTGAAGTTGATCATGGTTTATATGACCATGTTCTGTCTCTTGACCCATTTGATAAGGATCAGCAAAGTTTCCTAAAGCAAGAGATGGTCCAGACAATGACCCACCAGCACCATGATCATGATTCACATCCATTTGGTTATAACCTGTGGCTGTAACCGAGCCATTGTTGTCAATTCCGTAACCATTGAATATCCCTTGTTGGTCTCCTCTGTCCATAATCATTGCTGCCATTCTCTGAGCATCAGAAGCTATGTATTGCAACTGATCATCTTGTGGTTGATGCTGTTGAGACAAGTTTGGTTCGCGTATCATCAAAGGTTCTCCATGAGGGATCACTCCAGGTGGCATTCCATCCATAGACATCATGAAATTGGGTGGAGGATTGTTACCTAGAGGAGGAAGATAAGGCGGCGGAATCACAGCATCAGGTCCCATGTAACCAACAAGCTCTTCTTTAGCAGTGACAAGATCTTGTTGGACTTTCTTGAGGTATTGCTGCAAGAAAGAGATAAGACCAACACATCCATAGATTGGGTCGCGTATACGAGCCTCAGCTTCATAGAAGAGGGAGTTAACAGTCTCCTCGCGCTGGTCAGGAGGGAGATCGTTAAGGATCTTGGTAACATTGCTTGCTCCAAAGACTTTGTGAACACATATGAACTTTTGAGGATTAGTTGGTGGGAAATACGGAGCAAACACACATTCTTGTGTGCATTTACGCCTCAAAAGCTTGCATGCTGCACAAGGTGTTGAAGCCATTCTCTCTCAAGAAACAACACTATCAAAAATTCACAAAAAAAAACGGAATCAAAACATAGATGACAACAAGCTAAGATAAATGAGGCATGTCTATCTTTTTTATGCTTTAGCTTAAATTACAAGGAGGCAAAAACAAACTAAGAACATTTACATCATCCTTTGAATTAAAAAGATCACATCAACTCTCTCAACAAAAACAAACATAATAATTAGAAACATTTAGTTATTTTTTTTATTATATCAGTCTTCAACCAAAATCTATCTCATTTTAGAAAACAAAAATATTCTTAAATCAAATGGGTTAAATCAAAATGAAAATAAGAAATAGTACCCGATCCCTGTTCTCATATGACCTTCAATGAAGTACCTGAAATTTTCTTAACAATATATACAAAAAAAAAAAAATATATAGAATACAAAAGATGACCTAAAAAATATAATTACTGGATTAATTGGTGGGAGAGTGAGAGAGGAAATGAAGAAGAAAAGAAAAGACAAGAGATATATTCTAAGTACTGAGGAATCTTGATGGATGGATTGATTTTACAAAGCTAAGGAAAAAATGACGGAGAGATGTTTCTGAGAAAAGTTTAAGGAGACAAAACTTATGATGAGATTTAGAAACCTTAAAATTCACAACAACAAGAGAAGAGAGAGATGAGACATCGTGTTATTTTTAAATATCCTAACCGCTCATGCTAATATTTTTATAATTTTTTTTCGTAATTGATAGAGAATTTGAAAAGTGTCAATTGATAAGTTGGTAGAAGACCAATTCAATTTTGATTAGGGAAAAAAACAAAATTTAGATTTTTAGAAGAAAAAAGACTTATTTTTAGATATTTGTTTCATATTTTTAACTGATTATTCTTCAAATTTACTAGGTCTTGATCAATTTAACATAGATATTTAGAATCTATAAAAGAAGAAAAACACTTAGGTATTTTACATCAACGGTTCAGAATTTTAAATTCATAATGAGAAATTAGCATTTTACATTTGCGAAGTATATTTAAAACAATCAGTGAGTATTCTTTTTGTTTTTTCATATTGAAACTTGGTACAATGTAATGAGTTAAGATTGTTAGTTGATGATAACAAAGGAAAATTTCTTAAAATAGATAAAAAATAATAATAATATCTAACATCTAATATATCTATATTCTTTTTTAGTATTTACTCATAACAGAAAATTAAAATATAAACATTGGTAGAAAAATTGAGTTATTTTTAGATTTTTTTATATATTAATAACTGATTATTATTCAAATTTACTTGGTCTTGATCAATTGAATTTGCACATTTAGAATTTAAAAATTAATATAAAAATGTAGCATATTCTTAAGTATTTTACATCAAATTTTTATAATTTAAATACACATAATAAAAAAAAAAGCATTTAACATTTGTGTGGTTTATACAAAACGATCATTGAGCGTTCATTTTTGACTTCATTGTTTCAAGTATGATACAATGTAATTAGTGAATATTTAAGTGATAATAAAAAAAGTATATTAGAGTGTTTATATATTTCCTTGATTTAAACTTGATACAATGTAAATGAGTGAAGAATTAGGTGACAATAACAAAAGAAATTATATCTTGAATTTTACTTGAATGGGTGACAAAAATATCTTTATCTTTTTCTCTAAATGAACTATATTATTTCGTATTTTACATTATTTTCAAATAAATAATGGGAATTAAGCTTTTACTATTGTTTATCCCAAAAGAATAGGAACTCGCAATTTATGAAAAAAAAAAAAAAACAGAGTGATAAGTGATTTTGTGAGCAAAATGATAAGTTACTTTTGGGCAGCTCTAAAAATTTGTACATTTAAACTTGTAAATTGTAATATACAATAATCTGTGAACGCTTACCTTTTACAGACTTTATATACTTCACTGATTTACACGTGAACATGCAACTAAATAATAACCTAAATAGATTAGGTCTTGAAGTTATCATTTTAACTTGAATAACAAATACTTAAAATCTCTGAAGAGCTAAACTATACACTTTTTAGTACTTTCTGTTTAAATAAATAATAAGTAATTAGCATATTTTAAACTAAAAATTCCCATAAACAATGATCAGTGAACCATTAGTTTGTATCGTTTAACAAATACAATGATTAATAAATACAGATTTTCCCAAAGCAAAAAATTGTTCGGAAATACGTCTAAAGTTGTGATGAATGTTTTAACTGATATTGATAAGTTCTATTGATAAAGAACATGAATTTAAGCTTGAGCTTATCAAAAATCTGAACTTCTGATAGTTTAGTGATAATACAACATTATACCCAGCATGTTCTTTTTAATTCGAAACAAAATCCACAAATATACCTTTAAAAGTAATTTGTTTACTAGTCTATTACATTAACTACTTCTCAAAAACAAAATGCAAATAGCATTGAATTGTATGAGATTTAAAAAAAAAAACATATATATAAAAACAACGTAATTCTTAACCCTTTTTCAATTAGAAATTTCGTTATCAGTATGCCTTTCCATTTTTGTATCATTTCAATGTATTATCTCAACAATTTACAACACAAATAGCTAAAGTATCACCAGTCATACGCGAGATATTGACTTCAAATACAACCATGTTCATCATAATGATATTTCCTTACTAAATAACCTTGTAACAAGCCTAGCCTGAGTACTCTGATGCAACATCACGTAACCTGTTTTTTAGTACAAGAAAACAAAATTTTGAAATGAGGAAAGCCTTCAAACCCAAAACCCTTGCTCCCATTTGGCGTTGTCCAAGTTTAGCATCACCAAGTTCACTTGATCCCTAAGACATCACGACTTGAAAATTTTAAACTTTGGCCATAAGCAAAACTTAGAAGATGTCCTAAGTTTGCGAGTAATAATCTATTGTAGTATTGTTCAACCTTCTAACTGAGATCTCTTTGGAAAAGAAATTTCGAATTAGTTCCAACAAACAAAGTAATGCCATGTAAAGCTTTGTTTCCAATGCAATATATATATCATGCTTATCAGTGAAAACTCACAAAGCCAAAAATATAAAATCAAACTTCATATATAGTATAGATATTTCATTTTTATAACTAAAATTTAGTAATTTATTTACCTGTTTGAAGAAATATAAAGAATATAGCTTCGTCTTCTTTCTTTTTGCCTTTGAGAAGTAACATTACAAATGTATAAATCTAAAAAAACAAAAAAAAGATCAGTGGATGTTTATTTTGATGTCCCTACATACTTCATAGATTTAAGCTTGATACAATAAAATCAGGAAACAATTACCTAGTAAAGTTTCTAAATACTTTATCGATTTAAACTTGATACTATCTAATGAGTGAAGATATATACTAAACAAAATTTATTTCTTGAATTAACTTGCATGAGTTAGAAATATCTAAAATCTATTAAACTATTTTGTCAAATATTGTACATTTTAGTAAAAAGAAGTGTGGTAAACAACGGGGGAGCAACAGCTAAAGTAAGAACGGTATAAAGGTATATAGTTTCCTCAAGCTACACCTAAATACTCGTTTGAAACAAATTTTAGTTTCATAAATAAATTCTTAGAAATAAAATCCACACACATGAATTTTAAATGATATCAACATTCCAAATTTTAGTAAAAATTTTAGTAAAAATTTTGAAATTAAAAAGAGCAATACACAATCTTTTTACGATTTTTAAAAAGAGTTACGACTGATCTTTTTAGAATTTTTAAGTTTAAGTTTTCAAGCGAATGAGCTAACGTAAAAAAGCCTGTCGAAAATACACCTCATTACTTGAAACCCTATAAAATATGTCGTTTACTTCTATAAATACTACAATTTATGTTCAGCCTCCATAACTCCAGAAAGAAAAAAAAGATTAGCTTATAGCTTCTAACATGTTTACAAAATAATATTTGAATATTAATCTTTGTGCTTCATGTTATTCACCATCATATAATTTTTCTTTCCTTGTCGTCTAGTGCTTATCTAGAAAGAAGCAAGATAAAAAATTCCTACATCTTTGTCTTCTTTGTCTAGCCTCACTTCACCTTTTAAATCAGTTATATTCTTTAAGTTTATTTGTTTCATTTTCAATTTTGGTACATTTGGAATAACTTTTTTCTGCTAATTATTACCTTAGCTAATTATTGAAGATGATCTTATAAAAGACGTTAAGTTGGACTTTGGAAATAATGAAAATATCTTGTAAACTTAAAATATCCTGCGGCGCCAATAAATAATCTTATAAGTATGTCGCTTGGAAAACATTAACAACTCTCATTGAATAACACAAATCAGTATGGACCACAAAGAGAGTTTGATGCTAGGTCCAATTTGTTTTCAACCTTAAGTTATTTATTGGCTGAGGCAACTCAATCCGTGATCGTTTCTGAATTTGAAGTAAAAATATTTTGTATGTTGTTAAAATCAAAACTTCACTTAAAATTATAACTTTACTTAAATTATATAAAAAAACCTTAAAACTTAATCGTTAAATTTTACAATACATGATAGCATGTTGAACTTATACACCACTAACGGACCACAAAAGGGACTGGATGCTCGGCCCAGTTTGTTTTCAACGTATTAAAAATTTAACACTTAAATTTAACCCCAAAAAAAGTATTAAAAAATAAAACTATTTTTGCTTAAAATGTGATTTAAAAAACCTTGATATTTAGTTGTAAATCAAAATCAATTGTTCTTAATAAAAAAAAAAATTAAAGTTAGAAAAGTTGAAATATACCTGTGATCTTTAAGTATCCTGAGGGCTGAGGCAACTCAATCCGTGTTCGTTTCTGAATTTTGCTACACATAACACAAAAACAAACCCATCAGCGATTTCACAATCGTCAAAAATTCAATTATTTTGACAAAACTAAAGACAACTATCACGAACATGCTTATATACCTCTGTTCCTCTCTTCAATATATATAAATCCTCATATAAATATTCTCCTAGTCTCCAATGAAGGCTAGATTCAATATCATGCGACATTGATCTTGACTATGAGATTCAGTTCTGTATGTTGCAGACAGGTAATAAAAATTCTATATGTGGTCGAGAAGCAACATGAGCTCAGTAGTAATAAAATAAAACAAATGCCAATGAATCTCCCAAATCAGATCAGTATACCTCGGTTATAAATGTAGTAATGCTGATGCTACATGATCATCAAATCTTCATGATAATAGAGAACAACATCAAAGACCTGCAAAGACAATATATATATATACTAATAACTAAAATCAAAACCAAGAGAACAACAACAGAGAATTAGAAACTAATAGCTCACCAAGAACAAACATACCTCCTCCTATCAAAAGGTCTGAAACCTTTGTCTACAGATCCATGGATTTGTAATATTTAAGCAAAAGAGGAATTCTAAAGGAGACAGAGAGAACCACGAATACTCATTACAAAACCAAAGAGAGGAACACTAACCAAACACGTAAATCATAAGGCCAACATTGGCTTCCATCAATCTTATATACATATACGCCTATAATATTCAATGAAGACACAGAATCAAATCAAATTAATCTTAATTCCAAAAAGCAAAAAGATGATGATTGCTACTTAATATAACTCCTAAAATTAGATAAAAGTTCAATTCTAAGACACAAGACATCAACAACAAGACCATATCCAGCACAGAGGAACAAGAAGAGATAGAGCGGTACCTTGAAGGGAAAAGAGGAAGCAAGAGCATCACCATGAGGAAGAAGCAGAGAAGAAGCAAGAGCACCACCGTGAGGACGAAGCAGAGAGGTAGATAGATCTCAAGAGGAACTAAAAGAGAGAGAAACGACGAGGAACCAAAAGCCTCGACGACCACAAGGTCTCAAGCCACACCACCGTTTGATCTCTCTGCTTCATATCTTTCTCAGCCTAGATCATCGAACCATATCTCAAAAGTCACAACAACAAATCAACGAGAGAAAGCTAAAGGTACAAGCTTTTTCAGCAAAGAGGAATCAGAGAATCTAAAGGTACAAGCTTTTTCAGCAAAGAGGAATCAGAGAATCCAAAGAGAACAAACAAAGGAGATTGATTTAGTTTTGGTTTAGGGTTTAGAAGATGAAGAAGTAGAAGTGGTGAGAAACAGAGAATTTTGATTTCTCTCGAGCAAGGAGAACGAAGAAGAATCGTTAGAACTAAGAGAGATTAGTTTAATAAACAGAGCAGTGTACCTTGAAAGGGAAAGAGGAAGCAGCAACACCACCATGAAGACGAAGCAGAGGTAGATAGAGATCCCAAGACGAACCAGAAGAAGAGGAATCAAAAGCCTCGATCATCACCACCATGTCTCAAACCTCAGCATTCTATGATCGCCCTGTTTCTCGATCATCAAACCGAATCTCACAACAACAAATCAACCAGAGGAAATCTATAAAGGTAGAAGCTTTACACCGATGATGAATCAGAGAATCGAAGGCGAAGAGTGATATGCTTTGTTGTTCGACAAGAGAACGAACTAAGGAGATTGATTTGTAGGGTTTAGAAGAAGAAGAAGAAGAAGAAGAAGAAGAAGAAGAAGAACAAGAAGAAGAAGAAGAAGAAGAAGCGTTGAGTCGAGAGAAACAGAGAATTTTGATTTCTTGATCAAACGGAAGAATGGAGAAGAAGCATTGAGTTGAGAGAAAGAGTATATTTTTAATATTTAAAAGCAAAATTAATTAAGAAGTTAATTAAAAGAAAAGAAAATTGATAATATATTAATATCACAATCACAACGGTTATATTAATATGAGTTTAAGGAAATCAATACCAAGATTTTGTTTCCGTTAATTTTTTTCCATCACAACGGTAACAATTTAATTTCAAAATGTAAAACATTTAGAACCTTGTTTAATTTTAAAAGAGAATTTATCGAAAAATAGATATATTTAGTTTTCAATTAAATATAAAATACAAATATTATTGTTACCATTGATCAATTGAAACGTTATGTAAAGCTAAAACTTATTATTATAAGAGCCACACAATTTAGTTATTTTTTTTTTTGTCAACCCACACAATTTAGTTATTTTGCATGGAAATAAAAAGGGAAAAAAATCGAAACTAAAACAAAATAGACCACATAGTTCCTATCTTCTTCATCTCTGAGTTTATGATATTACAAAACTTTGATTTAACATAAAAATTATTTAGACAAATCTTTTCTTTAATTCCCAAACAGAAAAGTACATTTCAATCCTAGGATTTCTGAGCTTCTGGTCCTAAAATCCCATTCACCACTGACGTGGCGACAAGAACTCCGACTAACTCAGCAGCCACGACTGCTCCGGCCTGTGTCAATCCATTAAAACTAACCGCCGTCACAATTTCCTCCTCCGCCGTCTCTACACCTCTCTCCGCCGCTTCTAACCCTCTCTCCGCCGCATCAACACCTTTCTCCGCCGTCTCGAAGCCTTCTTTAACGATCTCCACCGCTTCTTCTTCTGCTTTCTTCAGCTTCTTTCTTATACCGAAGAACGGAATATTCTCCGCCATTGATGCTGGCTGAAGTCCCGTCACCACCGTCGCTGCCGTCAAAGAAAACAACAGGTTCCTACGAGACGCGCCGGATAGTGAAAACGAAGGAGGCGCTGGTTTGCTAAGATGCGCGGCTCGTGGTGGGCTAACATGCGCACGTGCCTTGAGAGCTCCGCCGCCGCCGCTGAGGAGAGAAAGCGAAAGAGTCGAAGCCATTTTTTTCTATGATGATCGATAAGAAAAATGCTAAGCCAAGCAAAATTGATCAATGTGATGTGATACAGAAAAATTAAATATATAAGATAAACCATATAATTTTATTGACCAATTGACATGCCACGTGGTCTTCTTTTGGAGATGAAAATTTTGTGTCACTCTTTTAATATTTCTACTAACTATGAGAAAACAAATAAGTTAATATAAATTTAACTCATTAAATACAATTTTGATATTTTAAATATTTTTTTCGGTTTAACAATATCAAGTAGAATCGCTAGTGATTCCGGATGCATCGATTATTCATATAGTTGCTATATACTGATTACTGAATGTTTTGAGAGATGACTAAGATATAGAGAATGTAGTGTATGAATAAAAATTGATTTTTTTTTTTATACTGAAATGCCAAATCATTCTGAAACTAAATCTGAATTATTTTGAGCTAAATCTTTTAAACTAAACAAAAATCTTTAGTTATATAGAAAAACAAATAAAAGTTCACTTTTAAAAAAAAAATATTGATGGTATTAGACAAATATTCTTTCCCACATGACATAAATTGCAAAAAATGGATGGAAACATACTTGTCTACATGACATAAAGAAAATCGAGATACCGAAGCGCAAAGATGATGCAGTGCAAGCCTTTTTTCTTGATGGGCCTTATCGAGTGATTTCTTGCCCATCAAGCTATTTAGTTATTTGTTTTCTTTCCTTCTTCTTAATTTCTTAGGATTTGCATAATTTTTGTTGCATTTGGCTTCATCTTCTACGATCTATCGATTCTCTATAATTAGAGTTGCGAACAACATGTAAGATATATTGGATTTGCATTTATAAAGAAAACCAAAAAGCGAAGTCTTAACTTTGTACTTCACCCTATACCACAAGAGAAAATTGGAAACATACCTGTATATAAGAACAAAGTTCTAAACAATACAAAATCTGAAATTGGAAAAATTAGTTAAAGAATGAACTACATTAAGAGTATAAGAATTGTGTCATGAGTTTAAACAAGACAATAAGAAGTGTGTCATGAGTTTTAACAAGACAATAAGAATTGTGTCAGATAAAAACCTATATTAAACAAGACAATAAGAATTGTGTCATGAGTTTTAAAATCGAGAATTTCCAGTAAAATTATTGAAGAGAAATCTTTCTTTTTATCAACTAATAATAATAACGAGTTGAGAAATTTTCTAACAAAATTCAAAGGACATAAACAAAAACTCTACCAAAAAAAATCATAAGTGAGAAGCACACATGTTAACCACGTGAATTACTTAGTGATATCTACTGTTTTTATTGGTTTTTAAGCATTGTTTATAAGTTAGTTTCATGCATTTTTCATCATGTTTAGTGTGTTTAGGATTGCAATTTGCATTAGTTGAGTCTTTGTAGGTACTTGGAGGTTCATTAAGAAGTTTGGAGCTTTTAAGGTAAAAAAAAGAACTTAATTGAAGCATTTTTAGCAATAATGATGATGGAGGAACCATGGAATGAAGCAAGTGAATCAAAGAAGCAAAAATGGACCAAAGAAAAGGAGAAACAAGGAGGTGAAGTGTCTCGCCCGATCCGGTTGGTCGAGCACTCGGTCGTGTCGTTCAAAGATCGATCCGAATGAAGGTCTTTTCTTGAGATTTAGCTTCAGAGTCCTTAATCAAAGTTGTAGGAAATTGAATTAGCTTTCGAATGGTGGTGGTTTCAAGTCAATCCAAGCTGTCGTTAAAGATTTATCGCTATTTTACTGGACGTATATACACCGTGTCCGACCAGACTGGTCGGGCATGAGGTCGGCGGGCCTAAGGAATTCTCAGAACAAACCTGAAACGAAATTGAAGAAACTGGTGCTCGACCAAAGGCCCGACCGGGCATGAATAGTGCCAAATTTTGACCTGGTTTAATAGGGGTTGACCCGGTTTTCTTGTAATCTTTCTATAAAAACCTCAAAAACTTCATTATTGAGGATCTATGCTATCTTTTGTGCTTGTTTTCAATTTCTTTTCTATCTTTGGAATATTTGTATGAATCTTAAGTAAATTTATGCAATTTAATCTTGTTCTCTTTTAGTTTTATCTTCTACTTTTCTCTAATTATGTTTATTCAAAGATCAATTTCATTGCTTTGTGGTTACATGATCATGAGTGAGTAGTCTTTAAGAGTTCTTGGGTTTTGGTAGATTTGGATGATTTAGTAGTTGGGTTATAGAGTTTAGGATTAGATTGTTTAAAATCATTGCTTATTGGTTGCTAATAAGGCTAAATCAACCTTGATTATGTTGATTTAGAGCTTAGGAATTTCACGCCCGGAAGGTGTTCGATGAAATTCCTGAACCAAAACTTTTTTAAGTGTTTTTCATTCCTATCCTTTGGAAATTGTTGATTAGGGTGATTAGTGGTTAGATAGACTTGTTTATAATGCTTATTGATCATTTGATTACCTTTGAAAGAAGTTGATAATTTATTGATTAGTAAAGAGATTAATGTCATGAAAATGTGTTAGTATTGCTTAGTGTTCTATGTCCTAAGGACCATTCTTTGTTATAAGTTGTTTGAGACTCCATAACACATCTCTTTGTCATTCTAGTCAATTGCCTTAATCCGAGAATTCGTCTTTATTTATTGCTTAGTCAATTGCTCTTTTCCCGCTTTGTTTCAAGTCGAATATTGTTAGTCTTTTGATTATTGTTTTCTTTCATCTTGTTTTGCATTTCTTGATTTAAATTACATTGTTAGTTACATTTAGAAATCATAGCTCATCTCTTATTAAGCAAATTTGTGTACTCTTGTGTGTTAATTAGTTGCTTCTTGAGGTTCGATAATTTAATTGATAGGGTAAAATTGCTACATCACTTAGCAACAAATTAGGACAAGAAATTAGGGAATCTCATTTACAATGTCTAATTTATCAAGAGAATTAAAGCAATAGATTATTTGACTAAGTTACGTATAACAAGTTATTTTATAAATTGGATGTTTAAAAAGGAATATTAATGTTTTTAAGAACAATTATCTTGTGGTTAAAATGAAAGGAATAAAATTTTCCCAAATACACAATAATACATTCTTGTGTGCATTTATATCTCAAATGCTTGCATGCTGCACAAGGTGTTAAAGTCATTCCCTCTCAAAAAACAACACTATTAAAAAATTCACAAAAAAAAATGGAATCAAAACATAGAAAACAAGCTAAGACAAATGAGACATGTCTATCTTGAAGCACAAGAAATACAACCATATATGCTTTAGCTTAAATGACAAGGAACCAAAAACAAACTAAGAACATTTAGATCATCCTTTGAATTAAAAAGATCACATCAACTCTCTCAACAAAAACAAACATAATAATTAGAAACATTTAGTTATCAACTAATAATAATAACGAGTTGAGAAAGTTTCTAACAAAATTCAAAGTACATAAACAAAAACTGTACAAAAACAAAATCACAAGTGAGAAGCACACATGTTGACCACGTCAAATACTTAGCAACAAATTAGGACAAGAAATTAGGGAATCCCATTTACCGTGTCTAATTTATCAAGAGAATTAAAGCAATAGATTATTGACTAAGATAACATATGTATAACAAGTTATTTTATAAATTGGATGTTTAAAAAGGAATATTAATGGTTTTAAGAACAATTATCTTGTGATTAATATGAAAGGAATAAAATATTCTCAAATACACAATAATATGATCTATTACATTCTTTCCTAATACTATATTACATTCCTTCTTAATACTGAACATTTTACCGCAAAATAGCTGTTTACAACTGTTACGGGTTCATTGATTTATAACTCCTATGAGATTTGTATACTCTAATTGATTTTGGAACCAATTTTTAACTATTATGGTTTATTCACATATTTGAATCCTTCTTCTTCACTTTCAAATTCATTTAAGATTTAATGTAGATTTCTAAATCCAACATTAAACCAGTAAACCAGTAGCAAATGATTTTAGTATTTAGAAATTAATTGGTTTCCAAAAATAAAAAATAATTAATTAACAAACGTGATTTTGAAATCAATAATCCTAGTAATGGTCATCTTGCTCCTATGATGGGTCGCGTCCTTTCATATAGTTTCGTCAAATCTTTCATGTCTTAATATATATTTGTGATCGTTTCATATTTTTCTTTTGTTTTTATTTGTTTGTGAAGTCTTAAGAATAAGATCGAACAAAGTGGGAGTACTCAAACAACATTTTTTTACTTCACTTTTAGATCGTTACATATTCGCTAGCCTTCCTCCCACTTATTTTCAAGTTATTGAGTTAACAATCAATACACACATAAGTAAGGATTTTTGTTATTATCTCATGAGCATGTGACAATGATCGGCGTTAAATATTCATTTTGAAAGGTTTGGGAAATGGACAGCCCCGGCTCAACATTTTTCTAGTCCCTTGGGCAAAATTTTTTTTTTTTTTGCTATTTTTTAAATAAAATTTTGTTTTGAGATTTTTTAAAATTTAAAGTTAAATTTTGGACCTTTTTAAGAAAAATTACACTATTATAAAACTTTTTTAAATTATATGGGCTTTTATAAAATAAAATTAATAGTTTTTAAAAAAATCTAAGCCCTTTTACTAAAACTTTTGGACCCTTTTCTTATGTAAATTTTTTAAAAAATGTCATAGTCCCCTGGGCTGTGATTCCTTTGCCCACCCCATTTGGGCCCATCCATTTCAAATGTATCGGTATCCTCACAGTTTATTTTAGCCTTTTCCGGTACGCAATTTTAGAACAGTACCATCAATATGATATTAATCTTCAACATTTATGAATGGTAATGTTAGAAAATAGTTTGGGAAATGAATTGTCAATTTAGTAAGAATTTCTAGAGGTGCACATACATACTAAACGTGCTAATAAATAATGAGATAACATAAATTACGACTCTTATGCATTGACGAAAGTTTTACGTGGTGACAATGTCTAATGTAGTTGCTTACAAAGCCAAGGAAGGTAGATGGAGCCTCGTTGGACCAAAAATGATTATGAAACATTTATTGGGTTTGGTAGGACTCCCAAGTTCCATCTGGTGTTTGTTTTAAATTGGCTGATTCTGGTGGAAACAATGAGATTTTACGAGTTGAGATGTTTGGTTATGGTTTAGGCTAAAAACAAAAATCTGTGAGCCGATTATCGACCAAGGATGAATATCCGTTAGAAATTTGGTCGTAAAGCAAGATTTCGTCAAGAAATTACCGACTAATTACCAATTAAGTTTTATATTCGTCGATTAACGGTTGGAAATTGGTCCAAATATATGCCAACCTATAAATTCGTTCTTATTTTGAGGTTAGATAGTTTAAGATCACTTCTGTTGTACCCGCATATAAAAAGCGCTTTGAAGTGAATAATAATCATCTTAGAGCATATATATTAGCGTGTGTACACACTGTCCTACACAAAAAAACATTTAAATTTAAATCAAAAATAGAAAAAAAAATAAGAAACGTACTTACAAAGTCACAATTGCGACGTCCTCTACTCTCTTTCTCAACTGTTTATGGGCCCCACTGACACGTGCCGGTCTGCGATTGGTCACCTTTTGTTTTTTTTTTTTTCTTTTTTAAAGACTAAAAGTAAGAAAAAAAAAGTTTAATGGGACAAAAAAAAAAAATGAACCGATGCACATGGTCTTAGAGCTTTGCATGCAAATAAAGTTCTTAGCATATTGTATTGTAGTCATGGAATTTTCTTCTCCACACTTTTTCAACTATGGATGTCTTATTAATTAATAAGATATATAGGATTAATAATATTAGCAAGTCCGTGACAAAACTAATAATAAGATAAGTAAACACAACGGCGAAGACTTCAGTTTGGAGTCTTCTTGTTCTGTCTCTCCTTTTTTACAACTTGAGTTGTGCTTTGCTTCTGTTTTTGGTATCAAAAATGGAAAAGATTGAGTTTCTGGGTGAGATTCAAGTCACCACAGAGAGGCTAATCCACAGCAACGGAGTTCTAGCTATATTCACCTTATCCCTAAGATGGATCGCGTCTTTGGCTGCTGTGTAAGAAACTAAGATGGTTTGTTTTATGTCTTAAACTGTTTGATTTATGTATAACTTACACTTTTTTTTTTTTTAATATGCTTCATATGTTTTATTTGTGGGTTAAAGTTTGCTGATGATTTTGGATGGAACGAAATGGAAGTACTCAAACAACATGTTGACTTCACTATTAGCTCCTTACCTCTTTGCTAGCCTTCCTCTCGTTATCTTCCATTTCTTAAGGTAAAGTTTTTGTTCTTGGTTCTTGTACTTGTTTTTGACTCTTGAACATGTATAACAGTTGGATTAAAGTATTCTATATGTATTGCAGGGCTACAGAATTTGGGAAGTTGATGGCACTCCTCGCAGTTGTTTTCAGGCTTTTCTTACCAAATCATTTTCCTGGTACGCAATTTTCATAACTGTACCATTGGAAACAATATTGATTATGATATTAATAATCTTTGAAGTTTATATAAAGATGCTAGAGAGCAATTTGGGATTTCTAACATTAGTATTGAGCCTCTAAAATTTTTGACATTTTGAGTAAGAGAAATAGGCCCAAAAAATATTTTGTTTTCACAATATTAGGTCCCAAATTTTATTTTATTTTTTGTAAAATTATGCCCCATTTTTATTAAATTTTAAATTTTGGTTTCCGTGTTTTAAATTTTATCTATTAGCAGAAAATATGTCCCATTTTTAAAAATTTTAAATTTTATCAATAAAACCTATTTAAAAAAATTATTTTGTTTTGGGCCCCAAACTTCACATGGCCGTCACTGAAGATATAGTAGAGAATCCCGTAAAATTCCTTATATAAGAGCTCAGAATTAAATGCTTTAACTAGGGTTAACATACTCAATATCCATTCAAATCCATCAATCCCATTTAAGTATACAATTTCGGTGATAACATGCAATTTTGTGGTTTTGAATTTTGGAATCTCATACAAGTTTAAAAACCTTGCAGAATCGCTAGAGATACCAAGTGCAACGGTTCTTCTTATTGTGGCTACACCAATAGAGTTGGTGGCTGCATTCAGAGACGGCCTAAGATATACGGGAGCTAATTTATGCCTTATCGGTAGCATTTTTCTTCTTAGTAAACACATTAAAGCTTGTGATGGATACAAAAACGCATTCACTCACAAGGACAAAATCACTTACACCATTTGTATTTTTATTCTCGTTTTCTACCTTCTGTTCACCTCATTTGCTTCCTTATTCTACTAAGGAACCCAACGGTCTTGCTCATACTGACAGACTGTGATTGTTAGTCTTTTAAGTATATCAAGATTTTGAATCTTTTTCTTTTAAAGGTTTTCAAAGATTTGTAAATATATTTAGATTTTGAATCTTATTCTTGTAAGGGTTTTTAAAGATTATTGGTTAATGTTTTCACCACAAAAGAAAAAAGTATTGTATAATGTTTAGGTTTTGACCTACGTTACAAATTACAATCGTTTCCACACTAAATCATAACCAACTCCAAATTTATCAACAATAAACTGATTCTTTAACTTTCAACTTTCAAGTGCAAGCTCAAGTTTATCAACATGTACAAAAAAATGACAATAGTAAAAACCAACAAAAAACGTAATAACAATGAGCGCAGGAGGAGGTTTATAATGTTTTCTATATATTTTTATTTATATTATGATATTTCATTGTTTTTTTTTTTGCTTTTTGTTAGTTTTTAACTATTGTCATTACTTGTTATTCTATTTTTCATATGGATTAATCTTTCAAAAACTTTATATTAGTTTTTTTTAACTCTTGATTTATTATTTATTGCAAATTATGAGAATTGTTACAATGACGATTCTACTACCGACAATTCTGTCCGACCCTTATAGATTCACCACAGATTACACCCTTTCCTGACGACATCTCTTTCTCCATGCGTAAAATCACGGCGAACGGCTCTAATTGTGCATTGTTATAGATCTCCTGTAAGCTTATCTCCTTGATCTGCAAATTAAATAAATCGCATTACCTGGGCGTCGAACCCCAGTCCTCTTGGTGTAGAAGCTTTAAACGACCCTTCGTCAACCACTAGACTAAGGGAGCTTCCACATTTATATTAGTTTAGTATTTGAAAATTTTATATTAGTTTATCTCTAATATTTATTATAGAGACCAAATTATTCTGTAAAATTAATTTTTGATCAAAACACACAAATTACAAGTATCATAGCCAACAAGTGTATTATTAATTAGAAAAGCCTAAATTAAAAAATAATTTAACTTCTAATATTAACAACATTTTTTATTTTATTTTTGAAAAAGCATTTGCAAATTTTATAAATAAGGTTCAAAGGGCTATTTCCGGATTTAAGCCCATACAATTGCTACTAAGGGTGCAATCCGCATACACCAAACCGAACGAAATTATCAAAACAAAATCGACCTTGTGTCACTCTCATGTCTAAGCATGGAGTGTCCTCGATAAAGGTAAGCTCGGTTTTCTTCTTCCTCCTTTTCACGGTTTTACGATGGCAGAATGGTGATGGATCATGTGTCACTTTTTCCGTTCGGCTCACATCGTCCAGGTTTATCGGTGGTCTTGTTCTAACGAGTATCTACAGATGTCGGACGGCGGTTTCAATAGTGTTTTACGATTAAAGATTAGGGTTTTCTTTACAACATGCCTATTTGTTTCTCCTTCCATTGCACGAGAGAGTATTCAAGCTCAAAAGACTTAACTTAATCATGTATTAATACTTTCAATCTATTTTGTAATCCACCTTTCCTTAAGTAATCACCAAAACAACATGTCTTAATGTTGGAGTACAAGTATTCATCACAAAGTTTTTAAAAATAAGCAAAACAAATAAAGATAAAATAGGGAATACACAAGTCACTTGTGGTTGGCATCAATGTGCTTAAGTTGACAATTAACTCATTGACCTATCAAATCATCATTTAAACTCCATAAAACAGCTAAACATCCATCAATTCTTAATAAAACTACATTTCAAATCACAAATTACAGCTAGAAAGAAAACATTATCTAAGATTTCTAACGTAGATATATACTACAAAATATGAAAAAAAGATTGTGACCGGGTAATAAGGGGGACTTGATGACAAGCTTTACTTCCTTGTTCTGCAACAAGTTGTCGAAGTCAGAGCGGTAGGACTTAGGACAACGCTTATTGAAGGAGACACGTCATGGGAGTTCGTATTATAACGTGGCAGATCTAACCACGTCATATAGATCCCAATCACTCGGATGGTTTTGTCACTGTCCTCATGATCAAGTCCATCACCAATTAGAAAATTTCTCTTTATCTTTGTACATCGACTTCATGAACTCTATAGTGAGTGAGCATGTAATGTATTATCCAAAGGTGGTACAATGTAATGATGAACATAAATAGAAATATAGAATTGTAGATGACAATTACGATTCAAATGGTTGTGATGGTTTAGAGCTAACAATTTTGTTCTAGTATTACCATGAAAATTTCTATTTCGTATTTTGTAATTAATAGTTTATAGGGAAATTATTTTAAATACCATGATAATATTAAATATGTATTTTTCCAAAAATACCATTACAAGTTTTGTTTTCCAAAAATACTACTAAAATACATTTTTTCCAAAAATAACACAAAACTAAAACTAATATTTTGAACATTTAAAATTAATTTCTAAATCCTACCTCTAAAAACTCTACGCTAAATATAAATAGTCAACCCAAACATTAAAGAAAATAATTATACATCTTCAAAAATCACCTTTTACGTTTATGGTATTTTCGGAAAGATAAAACTTTGTGGTATTTTTGGAATAAAAACAAACTATGGTATTTTGGAAAAAACTAAAATGATAGTATTTAAAAGTATTTCTCTAGTTTATACAGTTCAAATAAAAATAAAAAATAAAAGAAACTAATCACGGACCAACTATATATTAATTTTTATATAAAATAACTTTAATATGCGACGGATTGTTACTTTACTAATGGTTTAATCCGCTTCGATTCACAAGATCTATTCACAGCCTTAGATAGCAATTATGTACATAGATTGATTATGTATCTTTGAAACGTCAAGTTTACTTCTTTCAAATTTGTGTCTTCCACCAAATGACATCTCTTATCCAATCGTCAGTCATATATCCCAATCACTCTCGATTTTTTTTGCCACCGTCTCTGTGAGAGCCACCAATTCTAGTTTTTATCTTCACTTTAACATTATTTTGTTATTTGATATATAAAAAAAACATTATTTTGTTAATGGTTTTTATTTATTTTCAGTGCATGTTATGTTATATTTCATCAATTATAATCAGAGGTTACTTGACTTTGACAATAGTTGAAATGTTAACATTTTTTTTAGATTTAAATACATTTTTGTGCGATACTTGACTAATTTAAAAATTAAATTATTTCATACTTTTGATGTCAAATAATACATTAGTTTTTAACAAAAAAAAGTACATTAATAATCTAAATTACAAGTCTTTGTTTTGGACCTTCTTAGCTTGTTTAACTACTAGAAAGTTGTAGAGCATAAATCATATGATAGGTTTCTTTGTAGTGAATTGATTATTCGTAGCAAATCATCTTTTGAGTGGTACTATAAACATACAACCAATGGTTCAAAATGATTGCACATATGGATGTCAATGAGAATCCAAAATATGTGGATTGGACATAAATTTTGATCTCATTCATTAGTCATGTTCGTAAATCCAAATTAACGTTCAATCATAAGTCATGTTAGGGGTATATAATTTTCTAAAATCTTTATTAAAAAAAAATGCAAGATGGCTTTGTTAGAGCATCTTTAAAGGGATAAATGGAAAGATGTAACTTAGAGATTTTTAATTATATTAATAATGTAAGAGAATAAATTAAGAACCAAAATTATAAAAGTGTTTATTGGTTGAACCTCAATTTTTAAAATTAAATGAATAACTTTTAAATTGAAAACTTATGAAAATAAACATAAAATTGATTTGAAAATAAAAAGAAACAGAAAATACAATTCCAAAATTATTAATAAAAACAATGAAAATAAGAATGGGAAACATAAAAAGATACAAACATATTAATTAAAATGAGAAATATAAAAAGATACAAATATATTAATCAAAGCACACAAACATATTAATTAGCCACTCACGATTTCACACCTGGCAGAGGAACCCTCTCTAAACAAATCTTAACGAAAACCCGATTACTCCTTTCGATTACACTGTTTTAATATTTTGCCCTTTCTTTAATGGGTTAAGGCACGTGGGATTGTGGCGATAAAGATGGCTTTATTAGTTTTACGTTAAATTTTTGCTACATTCAGTTTTGCTCTCATTATTATATTTTTGTATGGTTAAAATTACCTAAATATATAAACCTACTTCTTTAAAATTAACTAAAGATGAAAACTAAAATATTTTAAAAGTGTAATTATTAGCTTATAATATGGGCAATGAATAATTTGCCATTTTAAGTCATAGAGTCCATCCCTACATACTCGACAATGAAATTAATTAACATTCAATGGTTGTAGTAATGTATCTCGTAGCTTCTTGACCATCAAAAACCATAGACTTATTAAAGTGCTAGCAAAAGCTAATCATCTCTTCACGTACGTAAATGAAAAAAAAAAAAACAAATAATGCGTTGAAGAAATTGCAACTTACTAATAAATGAGAACCATATAAACGCATGGTCCTTCTTTTTTCATATTTTATAAAAAGAATCGAGTATCTGTTATCATCAGATATACTAATAAATTTTCAGATCATGTAACATATACACATCCCCACATCGATCACCATCAGATATATACTACTCCTTAGTCGCAAAATTGAATGCATCACGAACAGAACATATGGTTTGATGTAGATAGAATATAATTATCAAAAAGAAACAAATATACTCCAACAAAGGTTAAACGGTAATCTTAGAAATATGTATAATTACTTTTCAGTTTTAACAAACCTTATCTTAACACTTCCAACTACCATTATACATTGATAAAACTTGTTATTTTATAGTCAATTTGCACTCATAATTTGGCAGTATTTAGTTAATCAATAGTTATGACTTATGAGATAATATTGTTATCACTAACTCCACTATCTAATCTACTATAATAAACATTGCAAAGACTACTAATTTAGAGGGTTTTTTTTTTTTTGCTCAAAAGCTTGTTTCTTATTCAATCACTCAAATGTAGTACACGGTTTAGAATAAAAATAGAATGACAGTTTTGTATTTGATCCTTAATGTTTGACATAACAAGGTTAAAAGTAGAAAGACTGATCATAAAAAGAGAAATACAATAATCCCACGATAGTTCTATGATAGCGTGGAAACAAGGATTTTAAGATACCATGCCACATGCGAAAAGATGATACATTTGAAAGCTTGATAGTAATCTAGACTAGAAAAAAATATATATATTTGTTTTGAGAAATCAACCAAACTAAATTTTAAACGTATAACAATCTCTTTCGTGAACTTTTCATCCAATTTTCGAACCCGATTCAAATATTTTTTTTTTTCGTTGAATACCACTTTTAAATGTCTAACATCTCTTTCATACAATACTTTTCAAAAACTATTCTTAATTGCGACATAAATATCAACAATAATCTCATATCGATTGGTCTTTTTTTTTTTCTTTAGTCACTCCAAATTTTCATTTAAATTAAGCGATTACGAAAGGGAATCGAACAAATCCGAAGTAAGAGAACAGAAACTAGAATACTAAAGCATACAAATTGATAAAAAGATAGAGACACAAACTTACAAAAATTTGATGATAATGTGAGTGAAATAGGTATCGACCGGTTCATTTATCTATCTATCCTTATTATTTCAAGAAAATAGAGGTCATTAGTTAAACTAAGCAAAACGAGTTTATGATTCACACAAAACACAGTCCCTAAACTCGTAATTAAACACCAAACCAAAGGGTAAAACAACAAAAAACACAACTCAAAGCTGTCATCCTCCCAACTTACTTACACAGCCTGTCATTGCCCCCACTGGTCGTTCAAACTTCAAAAACAAATATTAAAAACACACATAAACCACAAAATGACAAGATTCCTACGTGGCACTTCCCTTTTATATATAAATAACATGCAAAAACACCTTTCACTTCTCATCACCTTTTCTTCTACTATTTCCCCGGAAAACGAGTTCGACTCACTGAGTTAGACCAAAAACCATGGGTATATGCAGCTCGTACGAGTCGACACAAGTAGCGACGGCGAAGCTGATCTTACAAGACGGGAGGATGATGGAGTTCACGAGTCCGGTCAAAGTAGGTTACGTGCTACAGAAGAATCCGATGTGTTTCATTTGTAACGCCGATGATATGGACTTCGACAACGTCGTGTCCGCCATTAGCGCCGACGAGGAGTTTCAGCTTGGTCAGCTTTACTTCGCTCTTCCTCTCAGCGCGCTTCACCAGTCTCTTAAAGCAGAGGAGATGGCTGCATTGGCTGTTAAAGCTAGCTCAGCTCTCATGAGGAGTGGTGGCTCTTGTGGCCGAGATAAATGCAAGTGTCGTCGGAAATGTGTACCTCCGGTGATCTTTTCCGCACGGAGAGTCGCGGCGGTAGGATCTAATGGAGAGACGACGAGGAATGGGAAAAGACGCGGTGGTGGTGGTAGCGGACGGAGGAAGTATGCGGCGAGGTTGAGTAAGATAGAAGAGTGAAGGGTAGTTTGGTAATTTCTTAGTTATTATTTTAGGGTTAAGTATTTAAGTATGTGAATATGTAGTTATTGTTATTATTGGAGGTTGTAATGCAAATTGCATTTTGCAACGTGGGGGAAAAAAATGTGATTGTACTTTGGTTTTTTCTATCATATCATATGATTAGAGGATTTATATTCTACACTTCCAAAACAAAAAAGATTACGGATTAAAATTACTAATAAGTATGTTTTAGCATTACGGTTAAAAATTACGTTGCAGAACTATTATTGTTTTGGTAATGTGTGATGGACCACACTTGAAACACACACAAACAAGCGTAAGATCTAATCATAGTAATTAATATAAGGATTAATCTTATTGACTAGTACAAAAATTATAAACAGTAATTAGTACAACTATTCTCATTCGATATATTGTTTCATTTGCTACCGTTTGAAGTGTTCATTGTGTTTTGTTTTGGTCTAATGACACTTATCCCATCCAATGTGTTTCTCTCTTACATTATTGGTTTCGTTATCACCAACCAAACTTCAAATTTAAGATGACTTTGTTATATATACATAAAGATTAAGATATGACTATAGAGTATAATCCAAGTAGATTACATTTTGTGAATAAGAAAGGACCATGTGTTTGATCCTCATGACTAGTATTTTTGATTGGAATTAAGGTAAACACAACCAAACAAACAAACAAAACTTAGAAAATAATATAAGTTGTAACACTGTTAATCATGGATTAAAACTCCAAACTAATTAATGAAACTTGTTAAAAAGATTCGATCTTTTGCGTCAGTTTAACACTTACACACTGACCAATTTCGAAGTTGGCATTTCATGAATATTTGTCAGTAGTTGCATCGGTGAAATAACAATAATGTCAAAAACTTAGATAAATATAAAAATATTTTACAATGTTTGTAGTGTTTTCTTTTGGTTTCGCTAATCGTTCAGAATCCTTATTTTTTCGTATGAGTTTTAGATTGTAGGAATATTTTTGTTTTCCGTCGGTTTAAGTTGTACACTAAATGTATCATTTTAATTTTAGTAATATTTTTGGATGAATTATGTAAATCAAGATGAAAATTAGATAAGTCTGCCTAATACCTTTTTTGTAGATTTTTGAATAGTAATGAGATAATACTATAGTGACACAATATGAATTATGAAACATGCATAATGAGTAATGACTAAACTACAATGGAGACATCACATAGACTCAGTAATTTGACTTTAAGTGACCCTACGCATTAGGAGGGGTTAGGTTTGAGAGAGGCATCACCCGATTTGGTCCTATGCATCTGATGCATTATGACGAAGTCAATTTCTTGGCATTACAATGACATTTGATTTTTTTTTTTTGTTTTTGGATTTTTAAATTTTTTGGTTACAGGATTACAGCTATTGATTTGATAAACTATCTGATTGAACCACATCACGTACTTGATATCTGATACGATGTGAGATCTCTATGTTTGGTTTTAGTTTTTGAGCTTGCTTCTTATCCCGGTTTGATTGGTTTTATGGATACTATTACCGAACCAATATATTTCGGTTTGGTTCCAGTTGGGTTTGATATATAATTACGATTTTATTCGGTTTGGTTTTAGTAATTTTTTTTAAAATCCAATTATAATTAAATTATTTCAATTCGGTTTTAGTTATTTTGCTTTCCCATTAGTATAAGAATCGGTTTACAAAGAAAATTCGGTACAATGTTGATCTAAAATATGTTGATTCGTTACGGTTTGGTTTTTATATGGTTACATATGCTTTTATCTGTTTGAGTATGTCAACTATACAAAGCAAATGCTGGAAATCAATAATGATTTTAAAAGTGTGTTTTTGAGAATTTCCATATATTCATTTACACTAAAATTGTCTCAATTCGGTTTGGTTATTTTGCTTTCCCATGATTATAAAAATCGGTATGATGTTGATCTAAACTATTTCGATTCGTTTCGGTTTAGTTTGGTTTAAATTTCGTTACATGTGTGGTAGTGTCCATGTCAACTAGGTCAACTACACAAGCAAATGCTGGAAAGCAATAATGAATGGGAAACAAAAGAATTGGAGTAATAATAAGTTTGGACATGTCTTTAAATGAGAGAGCGACGACGGTACGTGCGGTGCCAAACCATTATGGCCTACTTTTAAAAGCCCACTTCTTTATTTTTATTTTTGTATATTTTTTCATTTATACAATCATGTAAAATATATCTAAGATTATATATATATCAAAAAAGGCTAAAATGTGAGAAAAACATAAAGTGAAAACACTCTTTTATATATGAGGACTTTAAAGTGTATATATGTACGAAGAAAAAGAAAGAATAAACCAAAAGAACATGAAAAGAAAGAAAAGAAAAAGACAAAGAGAAGTTTGGCAAAAGAGAAAAAAAAATAAAAAAACAGAAGTTTACGTTCATAAAAGCCTATCCACCAAAATTTTATTGAAAGTGTTGTGTATATAATAATAATGAAATATCCCACAACTAAAAAAGCTTATGAGTTTGTTTGTGTCCTTTCATCTTTCAAAAGAATTCATTGGTTCTCTTTATGCTTTATTATGATAAAAATGGTAACATGTTTATATTATAAATGTTCCATTAGATTCGTGGAGCGTATGTGATTAAAGAATATTAGCTATTCTATAGTTCCATCTTAACTCTTAACTCAAAATTAATGATTTAACTAGGTGTTTAGTGACTTTAGTGTGAATGTAAAATGATTCTTAATTCAAAACTAGTCCCGGTCATTCGAATTTTTATTTTTTGGTTTGGTACTTTTGATTTTTGGATTTTCGGGAGCTTGAGTTTAACATCTATTTCAATTTTCTTTTAGAGTTTTAGTTTTGTTTCGGATTTTGAACTGAGTCAATTTAGAACTAAAATATTTTCGGGTATTTTTTTTGTTTTGGCTCTAACCAAAAAATTGAGTATTTTTGGAATCTTAACAAATATTTTTGGTTTGGTTTTTCGGGTATATTTTTGGTATATTTTCGGTATTTTCGATTTTTTAAATACATATTTATTATGTTTTCGGTTCGGTACAATTAAGTTTCGGTTCTTAAGTTTAGTATCTATTAGATTGGTACATCACTTTTGGTTTGGTTTTGGTTTGGTACATTCAAATCGCTTTCTTTACCCAGGTCTACCCAAAACTAGGTTCGATCAATTATCAATTTCAACATGTAATTCCAAGTGGTAGTCAACAAACCTACAATAAGCTTTTTGAGTTTGTTCACCCATCTTATGACCTATATCAATAATTGACTTTGTTAACTTGCTGAAAACATATGATGTAACAATAATGGAATTGAATTTGTATGTACACACTAATCTTCTACGACAAAGACAATACAAGCCAAAACATCATCTTCCCTATTTCTACTCTCTACACTCACAATTCATTCTCCTATGTACTTAACATTACAAAGAAACTTAGGACCTGAAATCAAAACCCTTAAAAAAAGAATTTCATCTAACAAGTTCTCTGGCTATCAAATACCGAAACACGAAACTATGAGGCGTCCATTCGATAATGCTCTTTCGGGATCTCCCTGAGCTAAGTTTCTTTATAGTTTTCTTCATTGTCTCGGGGAGACATTCTTGAATCATCTCCATCAATGCCGCTTGACTCAAACCTGAATCTTTGCTAAAAGACTCAATTATCTTTGGTAAGACTAGTTTCTGGTCTTTCTTTACTCCAAACATTGCGCGAATGTATTCCTCTTTAGCAGCTTCTAGCTCTTGGTATATGCCCTTGGGCGTATACACACGAATCTGCAGCCAAAAGAAAAGCACATTCAATATCTCTTTCTTTTAAGCTTTCTTTTAAGCAAGATATAGCAGAAGTGTAAGCTTCTTTCTCTACTTACCGCAGGGTCAGAATGGTTGCCTGAACAAAGGGCAAAGTATAAGAGAGGCTCGGAATGGTCAAGGGAATATTCTTGATGTTCATCTCCGGTTCTGAACTTTTTTGGAATGAGTAATAACTTCAGCCACTACATATAGAAGAGAAAAAGTTTTAGACAAAGTCACATTAACAATGTGGAGTTTAGAGATACAGAAGAATTCAGCCTTACCTGGCCAGGACGAGGCATCTTGATGCGAAGAATATAACTTTGTATTGCTTCTATGCTTACCGTGCGACCTCCTATTTTATAAGCAGGCTGAAAATATACAAGCAGAGACAAACAAATTCAGTATTTTTCTGAAAGTATCTCTTGAACTAAACCAACAAGAGTGCTAATGATATTACCTTGGAGAGCAGTAGAAACCGTTTCCCATTGTTCTGTGGAATCCCATTTACCAGAAATGTCTGCAATGGTGAAAAGTCCATTATAAGTTAGAAAACTACAATAAAGATAAGACAAGAGATTAGATCAAAGGAGCATAGAGAAAGCCACGTACATGCATCACAAGTGCGTTATGTATGTTAATCCAGAATGCAAGTTTCTCTTGATGAGTGAGCTTTGTCGGATCAACACTCTCCAGTTGCTTAATAAGTAAGCTGTATAAGAACAAACCAATGAGAACTATCCTGAAGTTGAGCAGAAGAGCAAAGGAAAACTCTGTTAGCTGTGATGTAAAGACTAAAACCTGAAGTTTCGATTCATCAGGTCAAGATCACGGCCTTTCCTATGGCTTCGATGAATGTGTGACACTTCGATCATTGAGTTATAAGGTCCGCTGAATTCAAACTGGTCATCGAAAGACGAGTTCTTTCTGAAGCTTGGACTCCACATATCATATTGGTCTTGAGGTGAAAACTCACTTGTTGATGATGGAGATGAACTAGGGGATGAGAAACCGTGGTTTATCGATGGAGGATCAGCTAGCTTGGAGTATATAGCAGAGGCACACTTAATCATTTCCTCTGATAACTTGTTTGGAGTCATAAATATGTGATCAGATATCCGAGTTCCCATGTGTTCTGCAAGGCTAGCAGTATTTGATCCATTTTGTATGTACTGTTGTATCAAAAGTGAGTAAAGTTACAGACTTTATAAACTCTAAGGTAAATACAAGATGATATCAATGAGACTTACTTCATGTATGGACAATGGTTGGGAGTGGCAGGCGAATACCGAGTCTTCTGGTGGAGATATTCGGCTCTTGTAGGTGGAACGTTGATTAAGAGTGGATTGGCAACGGCGAACACATGA